TATATTTGGGGAGCGGGGGGGGGGGTCACGCTCCCATGTTCCATGCTGTGCTCGGTTTTTGCACCGCAAAAAAAACTTTTTGGGTAACCCCGGGGGATTTCGCGCGGGAGCTTGCGTGCCCATTTTGGGAGGGGAGGGGGGGGTTCACTCCCCCCCCCCCCCCCTCCCTGATACCACTACGCAAATGTACCCAGAGAAACTAATCCCCACCGCACACTAAATGTGTTTTGCCTCTCGTTTTGTGGGGCGTGTTGGTGGTGATGACAACGGCGCGTGGAATCGGGCGCGAGCAGATTATCCCTCCGAAAGCGTGGGACGCGTTGCAGTCGTGGTACGAAGGGGGGCCCGTGTTGGAGCGGCGGGTGATCGACTACCACGGGACCCCTCAGCTGGAGCTCTTCCCGCTCAGCCTCAAGGTACAGCAGCAGTGATGCCGTGTCTTTGCTCAATTGCTATTTGTGTTTGGTCTTTTCGCGTGGTGGTGTCTTGGTCTGTTGGGGTGCAGCTGCAATATCGTCACCAGGTGAGTTGTGTTGTGTGGGGGAGGCGTGTGGTATCTTATTTCGCCCTATTTTACTCGATACGAGTGTAGTTTTTTTTTCGTTCTGGGGGCTGGTGTTGCCCCGTAACAATCTTTGCACCGGAAGCGGCGTTTATTGTGCGGGGGGGGGTGGTATCTTTGTGGGCGCGCTATTGTGTGTAGTAGACGCTAAGCGGGGAGATTGGGGCAATCGGTTCAGCATTTCCACGACGGCATGGAAAATCCCTCGTGTAGCCCCGATGGAAGAACCAGGTTCGGCCCGAATTTCGCCGATGTTGCCGTAGGATTGTGCAGGATGTTCCGCGTCCGTCGTGAGCGTGGGGAACGTTCAGCACGCAAATTGTGATGGCGACGAGGCATCGCAACAGGGACAGGCAGTTTTCTTCCAAAGAAGGGCAAGGGGAGTTGGGCGTTGTTTCGGTAACCGGTCCAACTTTACAAGTTAGCGGCTATGGTAATGTAGTTGTGTTTTGTCTTTTGGCGATTGTCTCTGCAACCAGAGGGTCGCTACTCTTTTGTTTCTGGTGTGGCTGTAAGAGTTCTACTGGCAAGGCTGCGTAGGTGTAGATGTCGGTGATGTATAGGGCATACTCTCTTTGTTCTAAAGGTATGTTGCCTGGCTGATCTGGCTATTTATTGCTTTGTCGTGTTGTTTTGTCTTGTCTGCGGGGGACCCCGTCGTTTGCAACGGGAGGGCAGGTGGCTAGCTGCGACGTCAAGGGCAAGCCGCGGCAGTTCGAGCGGGAGATGCTGTTCAGCAAGGTGGACAAGGTGTCGGACGTGGTGAAGCAGCTCTCCGAGGCTAACAAGGTACACAACCGCCCAGGCGTCTTCAGACTACCGCCGTACACTAACGGTATTTTAGGCGTTCAACAATAGCGCATTTTGATGCCCAATTAGGGTACGATTTCGTGTCTAAGTTTGGTGGAAGATCGACGTCCAAACGCGGTTGATTACACAAAATGTCCAACAAGAACGGCACGTGTGATTTGTCCAAGTCCGTTACGCTTCGCGTCTGAAAGCACGGTGATGGGAGTCCCAAGAAGGTGCTTGCTCAAGCATGCATGACGACTATTGTTTGTTATCCCAGACAGCAGTGTCTCTTGTGTGTTTTCGCTGGGAATCATGCACTCAAAGAACGATTGAATGAAGCGAGTTTTGTTTCTCTCTCGACGCACGCACTTGCCATCTGGTCGTCGTTTGGTTTGGTTTGTGTTGTCCTTGCCGTGCTTCTGGCGGTACCGCGCCTCTCGGCCTTCGGTGGCCAGGTGGAACCCGAGCGCAGCAGGCTGTGGAACTACGCAGACCGAGTGGACTGGAAAAAACAGGTGGGAGATGAAACGAGAGAGTACATGTTATGAGAAGGAAAAAAGCAGGGTCTAACTGGTCCTGGGTATTCGTCCGCATGTTTTTCTGCATCATTGTTGGTATCACCTGCACCACGAAAATGATCCTCTACCTCCAGCTTCTTAGAATTTTGCCTGCAAGTATAACCTTTTCGGGGACAAATGACTAGATGTCATCGAGTGCAGCAAGTGTTTATTGCGTTTTGTCTCCGCCAGCCTCCAAGACATTGAGGCGTCCCGGCCGTCTGTCTAATTGTTTTCCTGCTTGCTCCTGCCACTTTCTGTGGAAACGTGTGGTGTCTGTCGCCTCCGTCTCTGCCTAGGGTGTCGGGTGCGACCTGCTGCGTGAGTAGATCCGTATTGTCGTGAGACTTCGTCCGACAGGTGCTGTGGAGATGTTGCTGTTGCTTCTCCCCTTGCCCCCCCCCCCCCACCAAGATGGACGAGATCCTTTTGGACCCCCCCCCAAACACTAGGATTAAAAAGGGGATTCTCTTTG